GTGGTTTTTGAATACTTTCTGATAGTAAAGTAGGAGAGTGCAAACATTTTTCTTATGTTTTCCCTTACAGAATAGGGTAGGTGTGATTGCTTGTTTCAGGTTTTATTATTTTATTTTTTTTTTACCATGGATGTTGTTTTGTGGTTTTGGTTTTTCTTTTCCATTCTTCCTTTGACAGTTGTAGCTGAAATAATAATATGAAACATCCTATGAGAAGGTCAATCAGAAAGCTGCTTGTAATGGACAGTCCATTATACCTATATCATGAAAAGCTTGCAGAGTAGACTGCATGAAATATTGCTGATACTTTGTACCCAAAGCTATTGGCTCAAATCTTTAGGGTTCCTAATACATATAGGCTTTCAAGTTCAATTTTCAAAAGTGTTCTAATTGATTTGAGTGCCCTCAGCCCAGATTTTATTAAAGATACTGGGAATTAAGTGCTTGGGTACCTTCTCAAAACTGTTTTTCAATTTGGTATAGACAAGCTTGTGCTACACACTTATTTTCAAAAATACTGGGAGAGAAAGCCCATTTCCTCTGGAGCAGCTGAGGGAGCCCTCAGATGAGCGCTTTCCCTCTTCTGAGGTGATTTGTTCTGCAGCAGTTCACAGTGCTGGCCCACTTGGCTACGTGTCATCTAGGAAAGTGGTCTGTGCTCAGCCACCGAGGCATGTAGTAAAAGCATCAGTGTTAGGCTCGGCTGGTCCTCTTGCTGCCCAAGTATGAGTGTTGGTGCTGAGTTCCAGGACTGGTCATTATTTAGACCATCAGTCTTGTTAGTTCAGATACCTCAAACGTTTGGAACACTAAATGCCAGCTACTCCTTAATAATTTATGAAGTCCAGTTTAAAGTGAGTGTGTATGAAAGCCTAAAATGTTTTGTAATTACATTTTTACCTATAACTAATAAAAAATGAAGATGTCAAAAACAAGGTTATGATAACCTCTTGTGTGCCACTGAAATAAGCTAGTTGCTAGAGTATTTTAATTTGTCCAGTTAAGTTCATAGTCCTTACTAATGGATCCATTAGCTTTTTACAAAATGCCACATGTTGATCTCATGAAAAAATCAAATAGTCAATGTACAAAGCATGGTTGCTTAACATCATAACTGCTTTGTCTGAAGACTTACTGGCAGCCTCCAGTCAGAGGCCTAATTCTACATTAAGACATCCTGTGATTTTTTCATTTTGTATTTTTTACTGTTACCAAAGCAAAAAGACTCCTCTAGGAATATCTACTATTGAAATGCATTGTGAAATTCAAAGTTTTGTCAATCTAAGTTCTGCTCTTTTACAGTCAAAAATCGGTAAGCAATAGTTAAAATTATGTCAAATATGACTTTCAGATCACTAGTCTTTACATCCTTCGTTTTCCTTTACTGCGAAGCTATTTGGCAAAGAGCAGTCTTATATTGAAAATGGATCTGTGATCCAGTTTTTGTTTGTTAGTGGTGCGAAAGCGTTTTTTTTTATTAACTTTGCTGTCTGAATTTGAGCCACCATACTTTTATGTTAGCTTTGAGGTCAAAGTGAATTGTCACTTCATTTTCAGTGAGGATTTTTTAATGGTTTGCAAGTGATGGTAACTTTGTTGTTCTTCCTTTGCTATAAGCTACAGTTTACTGTGCCTTTTGGTTTTGTCGAGAATGTTTGGAAAGCATAGCTTTCAGTCACTGCAAACTGGTATCCAGTTCACTGAGATACGTGAACAAGTTAACTAAATAGGCTGCTCTTGACAGCCGTAACTCAGGCTCAAAACAATCAATGTTTAGAACTAAAATTACTGTGGAAAACGTGCACTTCAGAACAGGGCTCAAGGGGAGCTTGAGCTTGCCTCTGTGAGAATGAGGTTTTGGTTGCTTCTGACTTTGCAGCACAAAAATGCAAGTTACCATGAGTTCAATGCTTGTGCTTTCGTAAAACTGATCAATGTTACGGCCAAATCCAGAATTATTATCAGATAGGCATTATTTAGTGATTTGCAATGGATACGATGTGAAAGGACTGTAATTTTTGCTGCTGTCTCCAATTTTGATTCAGTGTTTGCATTCTAGTAGAGAGCAGGCTGCTGCAGTTTAACCACTCTGTCTCCTTTTTTTGATACCTATAGATGATGCTTTAAAAAGTTCTGGTACAATTAATCTTTAGCTGTCATTTCCGATTCAGATTTTACCTGTGTCATCAAAATTAGGCTGTTGTTGCGTTGCTTTACGTTTATCTCTGTGCTTTCCTTTAGTCAATATGAGAAATTGTTTGTAGGAGGAAACTTCGGATATTTTCGCACTAATGCTGGAGAAGTATAACTGTTTCCTTCTGTCTACAGCTTTTCTTTTTCTTAAATCAAGCTCCTCTGCTTTCAGAATTCAGAGTAATGGCAAATAAGCAGCCAGCATCAAACCTAAAACTCCTGCAATTTTTACTGGTTGTAGCAGAATGTTACCAATAGTTCCTAAAATCTCTTGGGCTGCCTTCTGCATGTTTTATCCATGGTTGTAGGGGTTTTTTTCCTTTGGTTGTTTGGTGGGGTTTTTTCTTTTTTTCTCTGTATATGTAAAATGTGTTGGGGAGATTTTCTGTAGGAGAGCAGAGAGATTGAACTTAGAGACCAGGGAAGGTGTCAACTCGAGGTGTGGGTGAAAGACTTGCCACTCGGTTCAGACAACTTTGGCTTCAGGAAATTTTTTCGTTCCTCAGCAGCTCTAGGCACCTCAGAAGTTGTTCTTTATGTGGCGCTGGATGTGCCTCAATCCCAAAATTTTCTAGGTGCGAAGACTGGGATTAGTCAGGCACCCTTCTGCATAAGACTTACCTGTGTTTTCTTAGTCTTATAGTTGAGCTTTTATCCATTGCGTAAACTCATCTATTTTCACCTACCCCATATACACCTCAGCCATAGGGAACTCGCCATGCATCCATGGTTTCTGAGCATTTGCTGGTTTGCTCTATACAGTAAGTAGCAGAGGTGAGTGGCTTTTTTGGATGGGTCCCCTTAGCAAGAGAGTTTTTGTGGTGGCAGTAAATTGTCTACTTTGAGCTTGTCCTCTAACATGTGTTCGACAGGAGGAACCCTAGCAGCAAGGACTGGACCTTTACAGGCTTGCGATGGTAGCTTGAGCTGTGCAGCTTGATACATGCTGAAGGCTACCCCCAGCAGAATGCTAACCAGCCAGCTGTGTGCCAGGTGACAGCACAGCACCCAGCTGCACACAGCCATTTCGCATGAGACACTACTAAATAAAATACTGAGATACTGCCACTTTCTTTAGCTGTAAGTGTCTGGGGGATGTGTTAGGTGCTGGTGTGGTTGTTTTGAGCAGTCCAGTGCTCATGACAACTGTCTGAAGGTTAAAAGGCCTTTGGAAGGGGGGAAGGTGTTTAAATAGACTGGCTCCCACCAAATATTGAAAGATTTTTTCGTAGTAAAGCTTTCCATATTTGGAGCTTATGCTTAGGAGATTATGCAAGTGTCACTCTTTAGGGTAGCCCCAAATAAGATTATGAAGTAATTCTGAGAGTGTTGTGATAAAGTGCAGTTCAATGTATGAAATTTCCTTGAAAAGTGTTCTTTGTTTCCTTAATGCTATAATATTCTTGCTGTCTAAACGTATTTTCTGTGTCAAATCAGTCTTGCCTCAGAAAAAACTGCCTGTGATTTCAAAGGGAGTTTTGCCTAAGGTAGGGCTTGCAACATCAGGACCAGGAATTAGTGTAATGTGACCCACCATTTGTATTGCTTTGGGGTAAATTTAAGAGAGAAGATTTAACATTGTGTGTGTCATGCTGAGATATTGCAATATCTCGGATGGGTTATTAGGCACCAATCCAAAGGTTAAGTGCATCAGCCACATGAGATGTGGCTTTATCCTTACATGATCTATGCCCATATTCTGTTTTGTAGTCCCTTGAAATAGATACTATCCCTAGAATGAAACAACATGTTTATAAGACTTTATTAAAACCTATCCCAAGCTATGAAATGTAGTTTCAGGAGAATAGTGTGTGCGTATATGTCATGTGAAATCTAGAAATCAATCCTTATATGTGTGAACTCACTGAAATTTTGTATCTGGATCCTAGCGTGCACCAGATAAATATTCACGGCCTTTGGGAAAGTCTAGATATGAATGTGCAGTTTAGGACCGTTTCTAATTTATATGTGTATATCTTTTTTGGGTTTTATTTTCCATGCTGTTTTTGCTTGGCTTGCTTTAAATAAAATGCTTCAATGGAGTGTGGTAGTCTAGCATTTGTTTTGCCTCAGGAGTAGATTGCCCCATCTTGCATATCTGGTCAAGTAAATTGCTCTCTTGCCTGCATACTTCCATAATAGTACTGGGCTTTAGACCTTCCTGTACAACCCCCCAGTGAGCAGAACAACAAGGGGCTGGGCCTGTGTGATGCTAACAGTCTTCTCTATTGTAATGGATGCATTCATCTCCTATTTACATAAACTAATAGTTAAAACTTGTTTGGTTGCTTAAGAAAACTCATTAAGCTTTCAGAGTAGCTGTATTATGAGCACTGTGGCAATCGCTCCCATTGACTTATCTCCTGCTGGTTCACTGGGAACCAGTCCATCTCGGGGTCAGGTCCCTAAGCTTCATTGCAGAATTAAATAAATAGCATTTAAAGGAAAATGCAAATAATCTGTTCAATGCAAAGTGAATGTCAGGGAACTTCATTAAGAAAAAGAAGTTGTGTTTAAAATTTTTTTAAATAAAATTGTATTTTTGTCTGAAAGGCTAATTTTCACTCAGGAAATAGAAAATACTTTTTATCTGTTTTCTGCTTGTCACAGGAGAATGTTTGACATTGTAAGAGAAAGGTCAGTTTGTATAATCTGAATTGGGAGGGGAATGTTTAATGTGAAAAGCTTGGCCAGATTTTTTTTTTTTGTTATTGTTATTAATTGAATGTTCTGCTTTGCCTTTTTCATTTATCGTCTTCAATATATTATATTTATTTTTCTTTATTTCCTATTTGGTGTTTTTATAGATTGGAGAAGGAGAACATTCAGCACAGCATTAGCAATGAAGCAAAGGCCCGAGCCCTTCAGGCCCAGCAAAGAGAGCAGGAGCTGACACAGAAGATGCAGCAAATGGAGGCCCAGCATGAGAAAACTGGTAGGTGGTAGG